GCCTGGCGTCCGACTGTGGAACTGTTTCCTGTTTTTACTCGTGGCGCAGATGTCAGCCGGGCGGCGGGGGAAGCTCCCTCGGCGACCTCCGCGTTCATATTGCCTCCGCGTTCCTATGGTCGATTGAGGGGATGTGGCTAATCGGAGATGAGGTCCAACACTACATCAGAGTGTGCAGCTTTAGAAATACCAGCTTCTGCTGATGCCAAAACAGGAATTGTCCCCGTGACTCCTGAGTTGAGATGGGCAGCAAGGAACTGACCATTTTGAATACCTGTGGCTTCCTGGACAGAATTCCGGTGCTGTTTCCACTAGATAACCTCAGAGCAAACGGTTCCACGAGCCTCTTCTCATTCTGCTTTACAAAATTGAAAAACAAACTCACTGCCCTCGAGTCAGATCTGACTCATAGAGACCCCTCCTTGGGTTTCTGAGGCAGTGTCACCAGGGAAGTATATTGCCCAACCTTCCTTCCAAGGAGTGGCAGGTGGGTTTGAACTGCCAGCCTTCTGGTTAGCAGTCAAATGCCTTATCAGAGCTCCTCATCGTACCTTTTTTTTTGTTGTTGTTGTTATGTGCCGTCGAGTCAGCCCTGACTCATAGCGACCCCTCCTTGGGTTTCCGAGGCAGTATCACTACGGAAGTTGAATTGCCCAACCTTCCTTCCGAGGAGTGGCTGGTGGGTTTGAACCGCCAGCCATCTGGTTAGCAGGCAAGTGCCTTAGCCACTATGCTACCAGAGCTCCCATCGTACCTTAGAAGTCTAAATACCTTAAGAAAATGTATAGTCAGCATAAAGTTACTTCTGAAGAACCTTAATCACCACTCCTTCACCCTTCACCCTCTTTTTTTTTTTTTTTTACTGGCCACACCTTTCTCCCCAGGAGGTGCCAGTGAGTTCAAACTGCCAACCTTTCAGTTTGCAGGCCAGCGCTTAACAACTAGTGTCAGTGGGACATTTGTTCAGATAACTTGTAAACAAAAGCCAACTAATTTTCTTCTAGTCAAGTAAACAAAAATTTTTAAAGGCAAGTGTAAATCATCTGCACAATACCAGATTTTTCTCTTAACAATGATTAGCATCTAGTTGCATAGCTGAGGGACACTTTTTGAAAAGAATAAGATTAATTACATTTCTTCTACTGAATTCTCACTGTCTCAGCTCTCTTGGAGATATCTTTACAGTAAAAAAAAGAGAATATCAAATGTTTTATAAAGTCTTCACAAGGGAATGAAGGGGGTGCTAGAAGTTGTGACACACACACACACACTAAAGTCCCAGACTGGAATAATTGTTGGGGTTTAGAGAAACTAAATTTCCTTTTATTAGTTCCTACTAATTTTCCTTTGACTTGGGAAAATGGGATAGGAAGTACACCCATGACATCTTGGGATAATTCTCAGTTCCTTTCACCAACCAAGTTTTTTTTTTTTTTCTTTTTAAAGCCAGGTTATCAGTTGGCATTTGCCTTCTCTGAACTGTGCTGTTTCAAAGTTAAATAACTAAGAAAAGTAGAGAAAGGCCTGAATTTGTCATTATGAATTACTTAATTTTGGCAATTGATTGTAAAAGGAAGGCATTGACAGTCTTTGCTGTTCATTTTTCCCTGATATTAAGTAGCAAGTAATAAGGTTCAAGGAAGGAGCACTGGTGGCGCAGTGGTGATGTGCTTGATTGCTAATGGAGAGGTCAAAGGTTCTAACCCACCAGTTGCTCCACAAGATTTTTTTTTTAATGTTTGTTTTAGAGTTTTTTGGAGACTTGGGGAGAGGATAAGATTCATGGGACTTTGTTATGAACATGTGTTTTTTTTTTTTTTTCCCCCTACCCTCTACTCTATATCCTTAGGAAGAAGACATTCTTACTGGTTTTGAACCAGACCACATGTGTCTTCAGTTGTCCAGGGTGACAGTATGAGTGCAGAAGAGCATAACTGTTCCCAGAACAGAATGATGACTATAGATGTGAAGGTGGCTGCACACTTGAACCCTGAGATCAGGGCTCTGTGGGAGACCAAGGGATCTGTGACAGATAGTTCCAGTCATAGTAAGAAATCTACCCCCCAAATGGACAGACTCGGTCCTGAGGGATCTCGCCGGGATTTCAGGAACTTACACTATAATGAAGCAGCTGGACCCCTCAAGGTTGTGAGCCAACTTCAGGAATTATGCCGTCGGTGGCTGAGACCAGAGATCCACTCAAAAGAGCAAATCTTGGAACTGCTGGTGCTGGAGCAGTTCCTGACCATTCTGCCCAGGGAGACCCAGAGCCAGATGCAGAAGCACCATCCGCAGAGCATAAAGGAGGCTGTGACCCTAATAGAATACTTGCAGAGGCAATCTGGTCAAATGAAGAATGGGGTGAGAACATTCTGGGCGTTTACACTTACAGGACAAAGGTGGCTGTACTCAGAGGGGTTAATTGAGAAATGAGATTAATTACATCATTCTTCTATTGTTCCTTTAGGACAGTTAAGGTGGGACCCGAAACTACTGGTTGCAGCAATTGTCAGTCCACAAGTTTTGGAGCTCCTGGCAGAGTTTTCCCTGGCTTTAAAGAAAAAGTAATTTTTTGCACTCTTTAGAGCCAGGTTCAGTTGAGACTAAAGAACTTAGTCTGGCTTAACCAAGGAGACAGGACTTGAGTTCTGAGAAACAAATGAAATGGATGGGGTGTAGATGCTAAAAAGGGAAAAAAAACTGAAGAGGCCAAAGGAGAGCAAGGATAACTAAGAGAAGGATAAATCAGACAGCCAGGGGAAGACTACAAAAAAGTAGGGGGAAAATGTAGAAAGAAAAGGGGAAACATCTGGAAAGAAGAAAAATCCCAACAGAATACCAGAGAGAAGATGCTGAGGGGTAGTGTCCTCCACACCATAGACAGAAGTCTCCACTGCCCGCCCTCAGTTGTTGTTCCTTGGTCCTGCTAGTGAGTGGAGATCCAAGGTATACCTTGGGTAGGGGCAGGGCAGCACACCTGTGGTGGTAAAGAGCATACAGCAGGGCATATGTATGGTGTCATTCCACCAAATCATGGAGGTGGTTTAGAACCAGACTCTTCCCCCTTTTCCTTCCATTCTAATCCCCATTTCCCTATAGGGAAATCTTACTGAAAAAAAAACTTTTTCATTCCATTCCTTACTTTTTTTTTTTAATAGAAAATATTTGGAGAGGGGAAATCACCAAGGCAGGGATCCAAGTCTTGGGAAGCCTGTAAAAGCAGCATGAACCACCTGAACTTGCTAATGGCATGAGCTGGGATATGTGTGGAGGGGCTATGTTGTGGGCTGGCAGAAGTGACCTCTTTTCATTGTATCTTAATTTTCCCAAGTTTTGTGAGTAGTTCTTTGTGAAAAAGAGGTGGTCAGTTACCTCTTTAAGTCTTTGAACTAATTTATTTAGTGTCTGACACCTAGGAACAGGACTCTCTGCTTGTTTTTCCCTCCACCACCACCCTCAAACCAAAAGTAAGTTGTGTGATAACAAGGGTGGGGATTATTTCTAGGTTGCGTCCCATGAGCTGGGGAAAGAAGCAGTGCTCTCGGGAAACACAGCAGCGGTCCCAGGCTTCATGCTGAATCCAGCAGAACCCCAACCAGTTGGCAAGTCGAAGGATAAGGAATTTTGGAATACATACCAGAGTTTGCAAGAACAGCTGCACAGGAACACTCACAGAGAAACTGAGACAGGTATGGAGCATCACGATAGTTTCCTTTTCCTGGGAGCTGAGATAGTAATTTTTTTAACTAGAATGTTATGTCCAATCTGGTGTAACTGCAAAAGAAGTTATGTTAGTGATTATAATGCCCCCCACCCCAGGTACCAGTAGATTAGGTCAACTCTGGGTAAACGTGGGGTTCAGTCTAGGATTCAGAAATAATCCAAACCACAGAATCCTGGTTATTAAACTGTGAACTCTTTCCTCAGAAAAGTAGAGAAGGGGAGAAGATGAAACTGGTGGGGTCAGGACCACCTCATCCTCATAAAATACAGGAAGAGTTAAGATCAGAAATGGGTTGTCAGGGGCAGAATGTGAGCAGATTTGTTGTTGTTGTTGTTGTTATTGTTATGTGCTGTGGCGTTGGACCTGACTCATAGCAACCCCTCCTTAGGTTTCTAAGGCAGTATCACTAAGGAAGTTGATTGCCCAACCTTCCTTCTGAGGAGTGGCTGGTGGGTTTGAACTGCCAGCCTTCTGGTTAGCAGTCAAATGCCTTAAGCACTGCGCTACCAGAGCTCCCGAGCAGATTTGTATATCAGGAAAAAAACTAAAAGACAAAAATGCTGTTATCTCTTACTGTACACTGGAGTTTTTAAGTACTTCATATTCTAACATATCTAACTCTTAACCCGCCCAGAGAATAATTATATTTCATAAAAGGAAAATGAAAACCTATTTCCTTTTACTTCTCATGAACTCTGAGGAAGTAGTCAACTAAGGAAACAGTTCTGTGGGCTGGTAGATTCTTGGTTCTTATTCATAACAAGACTGCAACTTCTGGGCACTTCATATTTGAATCAGGATTGACTATGTTTTAGAAATGACATCAGGATATTTATAAACAGAAGGAAGAAAACTGTCCTGTGGTTCTTTTCTACCCACAGCTCTGCCTGCCCCACAGACCCTAGCCCTTTCTGAGCAGACAGACACCAAAGACTACATGATGGCACCTAAGCTCATCTTCCCTGAGTCCGAGGTGAGCTATATCCCCTGAGCAAGACCCCTCACTGCCTTGCAAGTGGTCAGAGGCATGTTTGCCCCACATGTTCTCCCTTGACCAACCTGACGTGGCCAGTGGTAACCGGACACCTACCAGGCTGTTTGCTGATCCCTTCCATTTTGCTTTCTTTTTGTAAAGAAAGTCATGTACTATTAATTATTTTAGTGCCTGCCCTACTGTGCACTTGAAAGGCCAGATGGTAGGGCGGCTTCTGTAGTGCCAAGTACTGAGCTGAAGCCTTCTCTTCATTAGAGCTCCTTGACATTTGAAGAGGTGGCCATGTATTTTTCCCAGGAAGAATGGGAGTTGTTGGAGCCCACTCAGAAGGCCCTCTACCATGATGTAATGCAGGAAAACTATGAGACTGTCATCTCTCTAGGTAAAGATTCTTCTCCCTTCTCTTCGTATAGAAGTTCAGTGATCTCTCATGACCTCAGCTTTCTGAGAATGCACCCCCATGAGAGAGTCCCCCTGCTCCAATTGCTGGTTGGTTCTCAACCAGATGGTATGGAGGAGAAAAAAGGATTATCCAGATCCCTTGGAGAGCTTTTCCCAAATATGTTCATTCCTTATCCTACAGAGAAGTTCTGATTCGCTCCACCTTCTCGAACCAACTCTTCCCACATCATTCCCATCTCAGGAAAGGGCATCCTATTCACTCAATTGCTCAGCCAGAAAGCTTGCCATCATCCTTTAGGATTTTCTCATCATACCATGTAAACAATCCATTAGCAAGTCCTCTGGGCTCTGCCTTCAAAATATATTCTGGGTCCAATCATATGTCACCCTCCTCCACTGTTAGCATCCTCTGACCACGTCTACTTTGACGGCTGTCTGAATGGTGGCCTCTGCCTCCATTACTGGCCTCTCCAGTCTGTTTTCACACAAGTGGCTAGAATGATCTTTCAGAAACCTCATCAGATCGACATTTTCTGCTTTAAATCCTAGCAGAGACTGTTCATCACATTCAGAAGAAAATCCAAATTCCTTACTAAAGTACCCAGGACCCTCCTTTATCTGGCTGTTCCTCACATCTGCCCTCATCTGCTACTTTCACATTTACTCTGTCTTCTGTAGACACACTGACCTTTTTGCTGTTTCTTGAGCTTGTGGAACACATTTGTACCATCTTGTTTCCTCTACTAGCACACTTTCCACCACTTGTAGAATCCATTCCTTTCAGATTTCCACTCAGATACCACTCAGAGACCTACTGCAACCTTATCTGGAGAAACTTAATAGAAAAAGAATCTTAAAATCTTTACTTATTTTAATTTTCTTCTAACCATTGATCACTTTTCCCACTAGAATGTAAGTGCCATGAAAACAGGACTTTGGCATATTCACTTATATCCCTAGCCCATAAGTAATGTCTCATACACAGTTGCCACTCAACACATATTAATTGGATGACTTAATAACAATATTCCTACCATCTGGCAATCAGAAAAAATGTCCATTGATTCTGATCATCTCCCTCATCTGAATGTGAACCAGTGAGCTGTATGATGGTAGAAATCACTCCTAGTCATCCAGTGCCTGAAGTATAAGCACTAAATAAAAAGTGATTATTACAGGACATACTTGTGCATGGGATATCCCACCTACTGACCTCCCGATTGGTGCCACTGCATCTGGTCTTACCCAGGAGAAGTCCTCCTAAAGAGTTAATAAGACCAACCTATATTCCCTGCAACTTCTGGAGCTTTGGACCGACCCCCAGTATTTTTGGTGGCAGAAGGAGAAATGTGCCCTGAATTGTCATTCCTGTTTTTCATCAGTCCACGTTAGGTTTCTTTCTTAGTCCTTACTTTGGATGTTGTTGTTATTTGCCATCAAGTCGGACCCGACTCATAGCGACCCCTCCTTGGGTTTCCGAGGCAGTATCACTACAGAAGTAGATTGTCTCATCTTCCTTCCAAGGAGTGGCAATATAAACCAGATAATAGATCTGAGATTCTGTCCATTTAACCATTTGGAATACCAATTGCTTTTTATTAAATAGTATGGAATTAGGCCAATTCATTGTTGCCTGTCCTTGACCTTAGTTTTTCCTTCTACCAGCATTATTTGTGCTTCCCAAACCTAAAGTGATCTCCTGTCTAGAGCAAGGGGAAGAGCCATGGATCCAAGGACCTGAGGCATTCAAGGGCAGGCATGTAGAGCCTCCTACAGGTAAGTGTACACCATGGGAAGAGGGAAAGTGTACCTTAATAGGAACCTTTACAGGGCCTTAGCATTTTAAGATTCTATTTTTTTAAAACTCAGTCTTTATCATTGAGGTTATTTATTTAATTATTTTACTTGCTGTAATTTTCTTGCCCTGGATATAGATGGCTGATTCTTAGGTTTATTTGAACAGGGTTAAAGTGCAAAAATGTCACTGGAAATCATCAGCCTATATCACTTCCTGCCCTAGAAGCACCAGGAGATGTAGAATCAAAAAAGTCCAGAAGGAAAGTTCCCCAGAAAACAACAGGCAAAGAAAATCAAGGTGATATTCACAGGGTGGGGAAACAGCATCAAGATTTACCAGTGAAGAGAAGAAAAAAACTTGCAAGCTGGAAACAAGAATTGCTGAAACTTATGGATCGTCACAAAAAAGAACATGGAGGAGAAAAGCCTTTTAAATGTCAAGAATGTGGGAAAAGCTTCAGAGTTAGCTCTGACCTTATCAAGCACCAGCGAATTCACACTGAAGAGAAGCCCTTTAAATGTCAACAGTGTGGTAAAAGGTTTAGATGGAGTTCAGATCTTAATAAGCACTTAACAACGCACCAAGGCATAAAGCCATACAAATGCTCGTGGTGTGGGAAAAGCTTCAGTCAAAACACAAATCTGCACACACATCAAAGAACTCACACAGGAGAGAAGCCCTTTACCTGTCATGAATGTGGGAAAAAATTCAGTCAGAACTCCCACCTTATTAAACACCGGAGAACCCACACAGGTGAGCAGCCTTTCTCCTGTAGCATATGCAGGAGAAACTTCAGCAGGCGGTCAAGCCTTCTTAGGCACCAGAAACTCCACAGGTGAATGGAAGCTTGTCCAGTGTTGAGTTCAAGTTGGTAAGAAAATACAAAATCATGAAACGGCCAATGATAAGAATTTGTCATCAGTTGAAAATTTGGAGTTATAAATATTCTGACAAAGGAATCTAAGCTGAGAGGGATAAATCAACGGTTTATGCCTTTTACTTTTAATGGGGAATTCTTTGTACAGGAAGTATTTGTAATAACATTCTGATTGGGGTTGTATCTGGCAAAGTAACAAATTCAACTTCAAATAATAGATGAACCAACCAACAGTCTTCTGTAGACACAAGTAAATAGCAATTTTGCATTAATCTCCCCAACTTCTCTTGAACATAAATGATAGAAACATTTGTAGCATGGTCTTGCAAAGCAAAAAGCAATAATATGTGAACTTAACTGCATACTGTTATCTTCAGGTAGCAGCCTTAACACTTAGAATTGTCTCATGACAGAAATACACTGTAAAGTTTTCCAAGAACCAAATTGGATTTTCTTTTATCATTGGATACTGTTCCAAAGTTGGACATTCTTCAGTTTCTACTTGAACTTTTTAGTACCTTTATCTCTTTATATGTACCATCAGGGAATCTGCAGGTGAACTAATAATGCACTAGCTTATGTCTCATTGGTGGTGGTTGAAAATGGGAAGCATCGTCAATGAGATCTTAGGGAAACGGGTTGAATTTGTAGCCATGGACTATGTATTAGAAGTAAAGAAGGGTTTTTAGCCCCCAAAAATTAAGCTACACTTATTTCCTTACCTCATAATGTCAATAGGATGAAACAGCCATAAAATTAGTCCAGGGCTTGAAAGAAACTTAATAGCATTTCAAGATCATATTCTTGTCTGATTTCTTTCTGTGGTTTGCATTTAATTTGTTTCTTACTAAGATTAGGGAAAGAATTGTGTTCATTTGGGAACTAGGATATGTGTGCTACATACCCCTGTAGCTCACACCACTTGCTGTGGTGACCTGGGAATCCAGTCAGCAGAACATAAAACAGTTCCCAAAAGGGAAAGTTTAGGAATTGTTGAGTGTTGGGCAAGGATGGGTGGATCCTTACCCGTGGGATTTGTCTTACACTGTGTTATAGATTGGTTTGTGTCCCCAGAAAATACACGTTGTAAATTCTAACCTCAATACTCTGGGGGTGTAGTGCCTAAGGCATGTCACTTTAACCAGAAGGCTGGCAGTTCAAACCTACCAGCCAGTCCTTGGAAGGAAGGTTGGGCATCTACTTCTGTAGTGATACTGCCCTCAGAAACCTAAGGAGGGGTTGCTGTGAGTCACATCTGACTCCACAGCAGTGGGTTTAATACCTGTGGTAGGAGCCCTGGTGGCACAGTGGACAGAGAGAGGGCTTTTCACTAGAGCCAATGCTGTGAATTCACTCTTTTAGCCTCCTAAATCATGAGAACATAAATTTCTGTTCATTAAAGCCAGCTGTTGTGGTCTTTTATCATAGTACCAGATAACCAAAACACTCTGTAAATTCCTTATTGGGCAGGGTGTACCTTTCCTCTCGTCTATCCAACACAGCATTTAAAAGCAATCTTAGGTGATAAATATGATAGATGGATGAAAGTCTTTATGTTGCGTGTCACTGACTCAATTTCAACTATAGCAACCCTACAGGACAGAATAGAATTGCCCCCTAGCGTTTCCTAGGTCATAATCTTTCCAAAAAAAGATTCCCAGGATTTTTCTCCATGGAGCTGCTGGGGGGTTCAATCTGCCAACCTTTCGGTTAGCAGCCAAACACTTAAAGTCTTTCTAAACATCCCATTACCGTCAAATTATTCTGACTCATAGTGACCCTATAGGGCAGTAGAACTGCCCCTCAGGGTTTCCAAGGCTGTAAATCTTTAAGGAAGCAGACTGCCAGATCGCCCTTTCGTGGAGCAGCTGGTAGGTTTGAACATCACCAAACTTTTGGTTAGCAGCCAAATGCTTTAACCACTGCACCACCAGAGTTCCTTAAAGTCTCCAAAGGGCTGTAGATTTTCTTAAGTATTTATTTGCAAGTTTGGCAGATGATATTTCTATGTATGTATTTGTATGTGCTGTAAGAATGTCCATATAACTAGAACTACAGAGAGCAAAGTTACGGTAACTTAGCCACAACCATACCCTGAGGGAATGAGTTGTTGGACCTGTGGGCTCAGGACTTTGGTCATAGGGGACATAAAGCTCAATTGGCATAACGTACTACACAGAAACATTCTATATCCTACTTTGGTGAGTAGCGCCGCGGGTCTTAAAATTTGATTACGAGCAGCCATCTAGATTCAACAATGGGTCTTTGCCCACTCGGAGCAAAGAAGTGTAAAGAAAACCAAACACGCATGAAAACAATTAGTCCAAAGGACTAGTGGCCCATGTGGACCTCAGTGTACCTGACCGTGAGACCAGAAGTAGATGGTGTCCTTGGTACCACAGTGAGCCACTTGGAAAGGGATCAGTGCAGGAGATCCTGAATAGTGTGAAAGAAAAAAATGTGGAACAAAACTCAAAATCATTAACAACAACAAAAAAAAGACCAGGTGTACTGGTCTGATAGATGTTGGTGAAACCTCTGGGACCATGACCCCTAGTCTCCCTTTGGTCTTGGAATTGAACTTACTCCCATGGCTTCCAGCCAAACAACAGATATATAAGGTGAATATTTAACACCAGGTAGGTACACTCCATAGAGCAATCAATCATGAGAGATGAGAAGGGTATTATTTACACAGGGAGATGGCTCAATGGGCAGGAATGCATAGAAAAGGGAACCACAGTGAGGAAGTGGAAAGACAGCTGTTAACTTTATGGGGGTTGCAATCAGTGTCATGAAACAAAACGTGTATGAATGCTGTATGGAAAACGAATCTGCTCTGTAAGCTTTTACTCATATCACAATTTAAAAAATCATCCCTTCCAAGTCTTACTTTGTACATGAAGGTAGTTAAGGCTCAAAATTGGTTACAAGGACTTGCACAAGACCCCAAACCTGAAAGTCTTTCCTTCTGGAGGCTGTCATGTCATCAGTCAGGACTGGAGGCAGGATTAACAGGACAAACTTGTATGCCATCCCTGCATAGCCAGCCTAGATGGCTTAAGAAACATACCTGTTTCTTGATTAGCCACTCCTTTGGTATATAAAGTAGAGCTAACACTTATCTCAGGGTTCTGGAAATTAGAACAATCAATGAAAATAAAGTGCCTAACAGAGCCTGGCCTGTAGTCAGTGATCTGTTTAAGTATGTTTTCTGTTTCCCCTAGTCCTTGGTGATACATGGGGCTGACTACCTTAAAGAAGCTAATGAGTTGGTGTGGTAGAGCTGTGGTGGTGGCAGTTAGGCTTACTCGGTTTGATTATGGTACAAGTCACTTGAGCCATTTTTTATGGATTGTTCTAATTCCCTTTACTCTGTTACATGCTGAACCTTCAAGCTCCTTTTCAGTGGAACCTTTAACTGTTTTATTTTGCTCAAGATAAATGTGACTTATTTCATAAGCCTTTCTGGTCCTCAAGCTCTGGTTCACATAGCTCTTATCCAATACCTTCTCAGCCTTAGACTCTTGGGATGCTGTCTCTTCTGCCAGGATGTATGTGGATTTCTTCCTGGCACTACCTCCATTTGTTCAATTCAGTTGAGGACCGTTGATGTGCCAGACACTGTCTTGGGATCTCAGGGCTGTGATTAAGAAAAACAAAAATGCTTGTGGCACTTGCATTCTTACAAACACTGGAAGGACATGGTTATGCTGCCTGATCCTGGCAGGTAGGGTCATGGAAAATTTTGGGTCATGGGTTGTGAGCAGAAGTGTCAGCTTCTGACCTGATGCATTTATTTGCTGGTGCGAGACTCTACTGCTACTTTTGGCTTCATTGTGGAAACATGTTTAGAGAGGAGCCATGAGTTCACAGCAGTCTGGGTACTGAGCCCCTGCATGGGGAAGGCAGCGTTCTGGAGGAACCCCCACACCTGAAATAGTCTTTGCAGGAACTAGAAATAAACTACTGTTTGAAGCCACTGAGATGGTGGTGATGTTTGTTTCTGCTACACATTCTGATGGATCCTAGGAGATGCACAGCCCAGACCAGGGCAGCTGGGGAGAGGAACCTTAGAGTTTTCATCCTACCTGGACTTTGGGAGAGAAGACGGTTTCCTCTTGGTGCTCAACTGAACTGATGAAGACTGAAGGGACAGTTCAGGAACTCACACAGCTATAGATGATAAGAAAGGTAAACCAAGATCTTTAATCAAAAGTGCTCAGTGATGGTAGCCAGGCACCATCCAGTTCTGGTCTCATGGCAAGGGAAGCAGTTTGCCAGACATTCCAGGTCTTCCTAGTCCTGCTCTCCTTCTTTTGCTCCAAATGGTGGTACCTGAATTTTGATGCTTTAGGTTCCTACTTCCCCATTCACACACCCGGTTTCAGTCTTCCAGACAGCCAGCTTGTGTGGCTCTGGACCTATGGGGCAGAAAGCCTGGGACACCAAAAATGACTTCTCCCATATCTCTCCCATCAGCCACTGGCCCTCTGGCCACAACACCAACGATGCATCTCAAACTAATTTCCCTGCTTAGGTTCTGTAGAGGGCCCTTTCTGGTTCTATGTCCTTGTCACTGCCCAACCTGCATGCCTGGCATGCTGTCCTTCCAGGACTAACCAAGATCTATTGAGGTTTGAATTTAAAATGTGAGGCACATACAACCCTAGGTTCAGCCTTAAACATTAGTACTAAAACGGGCTCCATTATCTCTTCACTCCTCATAATTCTAATTTTAGGATGAGCCAGGTGGGTGCTGGACATGAGATAACTTGAGAGAGTCAGACTCTTCTTAAAACACCTTCCTGATTTCTGTGGTGGTGGAAGTTCCCATCGAGTCAACTCAGACCCATGGTGACCCAGTGTACAACAATGAAACATTGCCGTCCTATAGTCATTGGTATGCTGGGGTCCTATTGTAGCCACAGTGTGTTCTGACTGCCTTGCAACCCAGCGGGC